GATATTGTAACATCCTAAAAGTGTTACTAATCAAGGGCGAACCGGTTCCGAATTGTTTCTTTTACAAAACTTGACCCTCCGAATGTTTTAAAATTATACTTTTTGCTTATATTTAGATGTATGATCATGTCTAATGACATGTTATGAGTACGCTCGGACCAACAATGACACCGAATATTGGCCACATCCAGAATGTAGACTCGTGGCATAAATGTAATTAATTGAATAGTTAAATGGAAAAAAGCTTTTCATTTCCTTTTTGCACATTCCTAAATTTAAACCCTAATTTGTGAAGTCTCTCTTCAAGTTAGAATCACCAAATATAACGGTTACGTAAAAACATACGGCACCTTACGAAATACATAATAACTATTGTCGTACACGTAACAGTTGTTGACATCTCCCTCAATATACCTGATACCAAAAAAATATATTGTTAGTTTAGGGAACACCTGAATAGTTGTTATACGCGACAAATTAAAGTAAACTACTCAAAACAAGAGAGAAGTCGAACATATTGTCCGCAAATTGAATACATGTTACCAAATGATGGACGTTAGTTAGGGCACACGAACAACCGTTGTTGTACGTATGACTATTGTTTACATATCCTGAATATATATCTGTTACCAAAAATGCACGTCAGTTAGGGCATACGTGAACAATAAATCAGCGTACACGACAAATTATATCGACGTACACGACAAATTAAAGTAAACAAAAATAATAAAGTTGAGCATTATCCACAAGTTAATTATAAATTTTAACTCTACTTTTTTTACCCCAATTTATATACTCCCTCCGTCCTATTTTATGTGGCAACATTTGGCCGGACATGGAGTTTAAGAAATAGATGAAGACTTTGAAATGTTTACCAAATTGTCCTTTAAAAAGTAGGCTCACTTTTCTCTCTCCTCATAAATGTATTGGAGTATTATTTTAAGATTAAGTGGGACCAACAAGGGTAAAAGAGGAATTGTACATTTAAATACTTACCATATAAGGAAATGTGACATTCTTTTTGGGATTGAGGGAGTAATAAATTAAGCATCTATTTGATGATCTTGTTGTTATATATCGTGTGATAGTAAAAGAAATGGAAAAACCACTTAATTGCATTGAAAACCTTTACCCTCTCAAACGCTTCAACTATTTCATAATTAATTTCCATATTAATTTTTTGATATGCGCGCAAAGGTAAGACACTAACAAAAAATCTCCGACAGGATAACAACGGAATAATATCCAAGTCTAAATTTTTCCTTTCAATTTGAACCAAAAGAAGACAAACTAAATCAAGCAATACGAAGAATGGACAACAAGTATATTAACCAAACAAAAACAACAAGACAAGAATAAACCAATCACACAAGACACAAAGATTTACGTATATTCCATAACAATTAAATAAAATTTTAATAAAAGAAACACATAAAAAAATATGTTATTGGAAAATATGTTTGAAGAATAAAATGAAGATGAGGAAAAATTCATGTTGTGGAAAACGATGAATGTAAATTCCTATATTTAGCTAACTCATGAATTTAATAAAAATATATATCCACATATCCTAAGATAAAAATAAAGACCATCAAATTATTACCACTTCAGCTAGAAGGTTCTTCATATCCCAGGTAATCAGTAATCTATTTTCTTATAGAATTCACATAGTGAAACTTTTATAATTCTTACTTATATTAATACCCCACAAAGCCAAATCCTTTGGTACTAAAGTTGATCTCCTTCATAGTTGTGGGTTAAGTTGTATTTATATAACACTTATATATTTTATTATGAATATACAATATAAGAAAGACTGATGGTAATATCTCGACAAAAACGGTTACACTAAACTTCATTAAATATTTAACACTATTGTATAGGGATAGGTTCTATATTATTTTTGGAGAAAACCAAAGTCATAAAATTAATAAATACTTCTTGCATACAAAGTTATACTTATAATTAGACTCTTTTTTTATTATTTTATAATTCTTACTAATGGAGACACTTTTGACAACGTCATTTATAATTGTAAAATTGTGTTGTCTAAATTTATAATTAGATTTGTCAAAATGTCTCTCCTTATTTTAGTAATTCAGTTTTACATTTAGGATATTTTCACTATTTTAGTATATATTATAAATAGATAAAGAAATGAATGCACTTGAATGTATGTTTCCTTTTGTGAATCAATATATCGAAAGTCTGAAATTAAATATTTGGAATATGAATTAATTGTTTAATGGACCACTGAGTAGATACAATAATACTGTTCATATTGGACCTATAATTTTAATTTTAGTAACAGAAACACGACTTTGGACCATTGATAAATAATAAATTGTTTCAAATAACAATGATAGCAGTTGGCGGACCTCTCCATCTTTTCTTTTCTTTTCTTTTCAAAAAATGAAACGCCTTAAATTGTTTGTATTCAATTCAAACTACTCTATCCCCTAAAAAAGGAAAACTTTTCTTCCAACCACTTTTGTTTTTATTTTCGTATTGAGGTTTTGATTGATTACGACTCATTTCTAAGAGGTAATGCTCTTTTAATATTCAGGACTTGAACATGAAACCTCTCTGATTTATGATCATCAAAGAATCATATGCAATCAGTATTGATATCGTCAAAAACTACTTAAACGCTCCCTAAAAGGAATCTATGGGGTCAATTCCAAAAATACTTCTGATTAAGAATGCAGAGAATCTTATTTATACCATCACAATCGTTACTGATTTGTTCACACTTCGTATCCCTCATTATGATATATACTTAAGAGTTAAGAGAAAGAAAAGAAAATGCCAAAAGATAAAGTAGTGTAATTTTATACTCAAACACTTATTATCTATCTTTATTAAAAAAAAATAAACCAAGGGAAATTAGTGAGAAGAAGTTTTCATGTGATCATGCATTATACGGTACCGACAAGTTTCAAAAGAATTAACAACACTTGTTAAATCCATGCAAGAAAGAAAGAAAAATCTCAAACTACAAACCCAACGTCATGACTCACTTCAAGTTGATGCCAAATTTGCTGAATTAATAGCAAAATAAAAAAATAAAAAAAATTTATGAGAGCTTCACTATAAAATTTCCTATATAAACCACCCCATTTTGCTCTATTTCATTCATCAAAGCAATTCTAAGAGAGAAAAAAGAGAGTTACTTTACTTGTTCTAATTTTTCATTTTTCTAAAGTCTTTCTTGTTGTTCTTTGTTTGGTGTAATGGCTGAGAATGATGATTTTGATGCTCACTCAGCCAACCACAGCCCTCCGCGGTCAAGGTGAGCCACCACAAGAAATTGTCTCCCTATTTTCTATATGTTTCAGAAACGGCCTCTCTACCTCCACGAGGTAGTGGTAAAGTTTGTATACACCCTAGCTGCTCTTCCCAGAACCTACTTAGTGGGATTTCTCTGGGTAATTGTAGTTGTTGTTGTTGTATTTTCTATATGTTTGTTATGCTACTTGAGATGAGGGTCTTTTGGCAATAGTTTATTTACCTTCACGAGGCAAGGGTAAGGTCTACCTATAGTCTACCCTTCTCAGATCCAACCAGTTTGGTTTCACTGGATATGTTGTTTTTGTAAAATTTAGGAAAGAGTCTCTCTACTTTCACAAGGTAGGGGTATGGTCTACATACACTCTACCTTACCTTCTCAAAATTCATCTCTGAAATTTCATTAAATACGTTGTTGTTGTTGTTATTGTAAAAATTAGAAACTATCTTTAAAAAACTATTGCTAAAACAGGAAAAGCTTAGAATTTTTTTTTCCCTTTTTAAATATTTTTTTTATGTTTGGTCGCCAAAAAAAATGTTTTTCTTTTTATAGATGTTGGGAAAATGTTTTTTTTTTCTTTTTTGGGAAAAATATTGTCTCACTATACACAACAGTCCTTAATAAGCATAAACTCGTCTTTCCCCTTTTAATATTTTTTTGGTGTTTGATTACTAAAAATGACTTATTTTCACAGATTTTTTATTTTTAATCTTTTTTTTTAAAAGATCATGCAAAAGATCTATGAACTTCCTAGATCATTAAAAGAAATTATTGTCTTCTTGTTTAAAAATCTTCATCTGAATTTATTATTTCTCTTGAAAAGTAAAAAGTTTTTGACAAATTGAATTTACTATTAAATGTTTGTTTTGTCTTATAAAATTAATAAGAATTCATTTATTGTTTTTATCCACACAAAAAAATCCTTACTTTTTCACTAACAAGTGAAGTGTTAGTTGAGAGGAGATATAAATGAAGTGGTTTTGACAATGTTTTTGTGATTTATTCTATTTTTATTTGGGAAAACGTTTTTTTTTTCTTTTTTGGGAAAAATATTGTCTCACTATACACAACAGTCCTTAATAAGCATAAACTCGTCTTTCCCCTTTTAATATTTTTTTGGTGTTTGATTACTAAAAATGACTTATTTTCACAGATTTTTTATTTTTAATCTTTTTTTTTAAAAGATCATGCAAAAGATCTATGAACTTCCTAGATCATTAAAAGAAATTATTGTCTTCTTGTTTAAAAATCTTCATCTGAATTTATTATTTCTCTTGAAAAGTAAAAAGTTTTTGACAAATTGAATTTACTATTAAATGTTTGTTTTGTCTTATAAAATTAATAAGAATTCATTTATTGTTTTTATCCACACAAAAAAATCCTTACTTTTTCACTAACAAGTGAAGTGTTAGTTGAGAGGAGATATAAATGAAGTGGTTTTGACAATGTTTTTGTGATTTATTCTATTTTTATATATCTTTTTTTTTAAATGAGTCACGTGAATATATGTTGTCATAAATTATAGTTTATGGTTGAGTAATTGAGAGGATGTATGCTAACTCCAATTTTATAGGTGTTAGTATTGAAGATCATGTTTTAAATGTTTCTAATTAATTTACTATTTCCCTATGTATGTGTGTATATATGTGTGTTTTGTTTAATTATTATTTTTTTAGATAAAAGAGCTAATTTTATTCGAAGTCTTTTTAGATTAATAATTAACATTTGTTTTTATTCTTTGTTGTAGCATCACTTGTGTTGATGTTGAGTATGTCCCTCCCACTGAATCACGTCGCAGACAGGTTGAAACCTTATACTATTAATTTCATATTACTTTTCTTGTTTTCATTGGAGATATATATATATATGTTTTTAATGACATAAAACCTTAATTTTGATAGCCAAAAAATGTATCTTAAAAAACTTGAAAAACCATAATTATTCCTAGACTTATTTTTTTTTAAATCTTATAATTAACATGATTCATAAAACATATTTTACATGGAAAAATATTTAAAATCACAATTTCCTCCTTTTTGACATCATCTTATTATATTTACATCATTTTTGTATCTTTTTAAAAATATTATTTATCTTCATTTTCAATTTATTTATTTATCTACTTGATCAGGCAATTTTGCGGGTGATGTCTCATCATGCATGTATGTTTCGTCTTGCAAAGCACGCATGGTTAATTCTCTCTCTCTCTCTTTCATTTGCTGATTTTTTTCGTTAAAATTATACTATAGTTTAGCGCATAATTATATTAAGTCTATTTCTTTTATCATCTAAATCTTATTAATTACTAATATTTTTTTCTTTTTTGTCATGTCCCAACTTGAATGCGTCTCAATTGAACTCCAGGGTTGAGGTAATTATTATATAATTCCACAATTTTTACAATTTATTATACAAAAAATAATATTAACTTTACATTTTATTTTATTTCATTTTCACAGTCGATGCGTCGTGAGATGAATGAAGTTAAGATGGAGCTCCGTGCTGCTGAAAGAATGATAGGGTTCGAATTTTAAATCTCATTAATTATTTATTTCCATTTTTTTAACAATTTTCTATTATCAAAATTTTAATTTAATACTTATATTTATTTATTTTTTCAGTGTTGCGAGGCTTTGCAAATGCAAGTGTCACCGCAAGGGCGCCAACATGAAGAAAAATCAATGATGATGCAGAGAGAATTATTATATAAATAAATAAGAAATCTCGATGTTTCGAGTGTTTTATGTGTGTTTTTATTTTCAGAAAATAAATTGGCTGTAATTTTGGTAGTTATATACCATTTGCATGCCTGGCTTGTGATGTTTGTAATCTAGACTGATGTGTTAGACATCTTTCTATGTGTGTTATGATTTGTGTTTTTAGTATGTTGTTGTATAACAAATCTTGCTAGTGAAGTGTGTAACTAAGTTTGATGTGTAAATATCTTTCTATGTAATGGTATTTGTGGTTTGTGTTGTTCATATCATATGCTCCCTTGTTTTTATTATAATTTATAAGTATCATTTTATATTTCTTTGAAGGCTTAATAGATGGCTGTAATCCGCCTCTTAAACTTGTCAAAATATTTCATTTCATAACACACTCGGATTAAGTATTTTTCCAATTGAACATCTTAACTTCTAATAAAATATTGTTTCAATTAAATACTTTAAAGCTTAAATTTTGAACTTTTTTTTTTATGTGTTCTCAATTCTCATTCTTTAATTTCTATAGTTAAAATAACCACATAAAATATTTCATCTCTTTTAATTATACATACTCGCCTCAATAAATTGTAAAAGCTTAGACATTTTCGATTTGAGGTTGCTATATATATAATTAAAAGAGAGGATACACATCAACCTCAATTGCTATATCAGGTTAATTTCACTATGGGACAGAAATAGATTGTGGTACAAGAAGACCAATTTTTTTTTAAAAAATTACAAGAAGACCAATTAAAACCTAACTACTTTGTTCAAGTGTCTAAATAAAATATCAAGACAAATTAAAGGGGTTTTCACCATGTATTAAACCTTTGTTGAAGGAGTTTCGGTGTCATATAGTCATTAGGTAAGCACATTTTCAATTTCTTTATCCATAACATTTTAATTTCCTATTCTATAAATGTTTGTATATATATTTTGAAGAAGAAAAAATGTATAATATTTTATTTATTTCTGTTGAAAAAGTACTTCACACATAATTGAAAAACAATGAATTACTAATGCCTTTAACATGTACTTACCTTTTTTGCAACCTCGATAAAATATCAAATTAACTCAAACTACTGTGATTAAGTGATTGAATAAAATCAAAATATGAATTAATTAACTATAATTAAGTGTAAAAAGTATATATATAAACATTTAATACAAATAAATTTTTATCATCTATCATATATTGCTAAATTGTGATACACTTCTTAATACGTTTAGAAAATATTGTTTTATCCCAAACGTAGCGTCCTGCCATATAAGTTTTTAAAATTTAAGTTGCATATACTAACAGTATAAAAAAATTTCAAAACATTCAGAGAAAATATTCTTTCTACTATACAAAACATGGGAGTATTGACCACCTGAATTAAATTTAGCTATGAAATACCTGCTAGAATATGAAGTAATTTGCAGCAGGGAATTCCAGGGCATATGCATTAAATTAGCAATATAAAGTAATTTGCTGCAACTGCATATTGGCAACTTGGCAAATTAAAAGGTCGGCACAGAACCAAATTTTATAAATACTTCCTCCGTTCAACAATAGTTGTTCACTATACTATTTTGAAATGTCCAACAATATATACTTGTCCACTATATGAAATCAATGAATAATTTTATACTTAGATCCTAATTTACTCTTATCATTAATTATAATCATTTCATTGTTACATTTTTCAAGACATTGTATTTATTATATTCAAAGGGTGATATAATAAATTAATTACCATTCTATTTATAGTTTCTTAAGAAATGTGCAAAGTAAATAATGGACAAGTATTGTTGAACGGAAGGGCATAAATAATGTATAAAAAGAGATGTTGTTTCCTCATTTCAATACACCAACAAGAAATAGAGAGAGAGTAGAGCACTTCACAGGCAGTGAATGAAAATAGTTTGTAAAGAAAATAGAGTGTGTGAGTAGTGGTTTATAGTAAATTTTGGATTAATTTTTAAGTTAATGATATGTTGATCAAAGTAAATTATCGGTAAAAAAAATTTGGATTAATATTTGAGTTAAAAATCATGTGACTTTAATAAAGTTCAAATTATATTTGGGTCAGTTTGTTAAGTTGACAAGACGAGCCCAACTCATGTTCTTCAAGCTCAAGGTCCTGTAAAATTATTACTTGAAGACAAAATACCCCAAAATCTCAACTCACATCTATATAAAGGGGATTTCATAAGACAAGAAAAAGACAAAGAAATACATAGAAAAACTTTGCTCTTTAGTGGTGATTCACACGTCTTCTGCATATAAACAAGTCTTCGTCTCCAAGTTATGTGATGCAAGCTCCTATATCTACGCTATTGTGATCAAAGTTTGGCTCCACAATTATGGTGAAGTTTCAACAAGTATTTCACCGATTTAAGAACAAAGCAAAGTTCTTGAATTGACGATCGTGAGGAGAAGAATCAAAGAAATATATCTTTTTTTCATTAGATTTTATAAAGATTATAACTTTCACACAAATTATTAAAATATAAATAGTACTGTTTGTCGTTGTTTTTCAATATTTTTAATTATATTGATATTTTTTAAAAACATAACTTAATCGGTTACCGTGGTGTTATAGTGAGGTACCCAAAAATAAAGAAAGTTATTTTCTTTCAAGTGTGGTGTAGTTTTTTTAGACTGTAAAGTTATATTAAATTTCTCACTATAATGATATAGTACTGCTCCTCTAAAGTGTATCATTTTCTCCATGTTAAAAAGATTTAGTACGTTGTTATTTTCTTGGTTTTGTTATTTAACGTGGCTATTATTTTTGAATAATAAAATTATTATTTTTCAATAATGTGGTATCAGATCCATAGAAAATAATAGTGGTCCATTATTTTCTTCAGTACTATCTCACACAAAAAATATGAAAACTTATTGGCAAGGTTTAAATTGGGATTCGAACAGATAGATGGAAACAAACTTTTTGTTAATTATTATGTATTTCTTTTGTACTTCCCTAAATCTAAATCTTAATTTCTGAAGTCTCTCTTCGAGTTAGAATCTTCAAATATAAGGGTTATCTAGAAATATGCACCAACACACAAGCAATTATCGGTGTACATGTAACAACTAATGACATTTCCCCAAATATATCTAGTACCAAAAAATACATATTAGTTTAGGACACATGAACAATTATCGTACATGAAAAACTAAAATACACAAAACAAGAAAAGTTGAACATTGTCTGGAAGTGGAACACCACTTCCCTAAAATTCAACCCTAATCAAGAAGTTTCTCTACGATTTAGAAGAGCGATATTTGTTGGGAAAGGCAAGTACAAAATAAATGTGCACGACAGGGCTATAGCGAAAGAAAACCCAAGTCAAAACTTTCCCTTCTATTTGAACCAAGAGAAGACAAAATAATGCAAGAACAAATTGTTTGGGCAGCAAACAAATCAACCAAGCAAGAAAAATAAATCAACACATAAGACACCAAATTTAACGTGGAAAACCTCTTCAGTGTGAAGAGTAAAAACCACAAGGCCAAAGCTCCACTATAATCAACAAGAGTTACAAAAGTGTTCTCCAAAATGGTCTCCAACAGTGTCAAACAATGAGCAACACAACTACAAGATAGCACCAAAAGCTAGAGAAATAAAAGGAAGAAAAAACACCAAGCCCGCAGCTACTGTTCACCCTCTCTCAGTTCTCAATCAAAGATTAAGTTGAAAAGAACAAGCTGTCCAAAAATCAGCTCAATCGGACAAGAAACGAAGCGGGAATCGCGATTTAAAAATGGTTGCTAGGGCTTGTGCGAAAATCTCCACTTTCTCACTTTTCTCTCTATATGGCTGCACTCAATCTCTTGTGATATATCTCAAATAAGACCTAAAAGAAAGTCTTACAAATGCACCATAATATTGGGCTTATGGGCAAAAGTGGGTTAGTCAAATTTGGGCTAAATTTATCCACAAAGGAAAGGAGGGAAGACCCAAAACCTTGGACTTTTATTTATCCACATAGGAAGGGTAAAAGGCCCAAAATCCAACAATTCTCCCCCTACCGACTATGTGGAGGAAACCGCCATCCCGGCGATCATGCTAACATTCTTCAAACTTTCCTCTTGGCAAATCTTTAGTCATTCATGTCGGAACCATTATCATTGGTATGGATCTTTTCAAGTTCAAGCAACTTAGAATCCAACACATCTCGAATCCAATGATACCTCACATCAATGTGTTTAGACCGACCATGAAAATGTAGAATTCTTGCCAAGATGAATAGCAACTTTGACTGTCGCAATAAAGCACATACCTCTCTTAAGCACAACCAAGTTCCCCCAAGAATCTCTTCATCCAAGATCAATTCTTTGCAAGCTTCAACAGCCGCAATAAGCTCAGCCTCTATAGTAGATAAAGCAACACATTTTTGCAACCTAAATTGCCAAGACACAGCTCCCCCTGCAAAAGTAATAAAGTAGCCTGAAGTAGACTTACGAGTATCAACATCACCGGTCATGTCTGAATCAGTATAACCACAAAGAATAGGATTCCCTGTACCAAAACACAAACTCATACTAGAAATGCCACAAAGATATCTCATAATCTACTTTACAGCATTCCAATGCTCTTTTCCCGGATTAGAAAGAAAACGGCTAACAATACCAACAGCATGAGCAATATTTGATCTTGTACACACCATTGCATATATCAAACTACTAACAGCTGAAGCATAAGGAACTTTCTTCATATCTTCCTTCTCACCATCACTGGAAGGACAATGACTAGTACTCAATTTGAAGTGCATAGTTAAAGGTGTACTGACAACCTTAGCTTTGTCCATGTTAAATCTACAAAGTACTTTCTGAATGTACTTCTCTTGTGACAACCACAACTTCTTGGCATCTCTATCACAGACAATCTGCAAGCCAAGAATCTGCCTTGCTGGTCCCAAGTCTTTCATAGCAAAAGACTTATTCAATCTTGCTACAACTTTTTAATCTTGCAAATATTATGACCAACAACAAGTATGTCATCAACATAAAGTAAAACGATAATAAAGTCACCATCAGAGAATTTTTGCACAAAAACACAATGATCTGAAGAAGTCTTCTTGAAGCCCTACTGACTCATAAAAGAATCAAACTTCCTGTACCATTGCCTTGGTGCTTGTTTTAGACCATACAAGCTCTTCTTCAACTTGCAAACATAATTCTTTTTTTCCTTGACTTCAAACCCTTCCGCCTACTCCATATAAATTTCTTCATCCAAGT